CCACAGAGGGATCCACTGTTGAAACTCCTTCGAGTCCCATCCTCGGTCCTCCATTCGCTAATATGGTGGTCGAACCCGACCAATCTGACTGTTGGGGTCCCCTTCAGGTCCCGAGGCCCATCGATTACAGTCGGTACTGACGCGTCTCTTCTAGGTTGGGGAGCGATATGCTCCGGCCTGTATACTCAAGGCAAGTGGACTCGTCAAGAATCCACGAAGCATATCAACTTCCTGGAATTGTTGGCCGTGTTCAAAGCCCTATGCTCTTTCGAAGATGTTCTTCAACATTGGGTTGTTCAGATAACATTGGACAACATAGCCACCGTTTTTTATCTGAACAAGCAAGGCGGGACGAAATCTCCAACCTTGGCCAGACTTTCTATGCAGATCTGGGACTGGTGCATTTCGAGAGATATTATGATAATAGCAGTCCATCTGGCCAGTACGGACAACGTGGAAGCAGATCTTCTCAGCAGGCGCATGCTCATCTCTCACGAATGGGAACTGGACCCCCAGACACGCGACAACCTTTTCCATCACTGGGGGTTCCCCGACGTGGACTTGTTCGCCATACAACAGAACAAGGTGTGTGCGACTTTCTGCTCGAGAGCGGGAATCGGACACGAATTCCTAGGGGACGCCTTCATGATTCCATGGAACAATCTGAATTTCTACGCCTTCCCACCGATTCCGCTGGTGATGAGAGTCATAGCGAAGATTGTTTGCAATCGGGCCACAGGGATACTAATTACTCCTTGGTGGCCACGCCAACCTTAGTTTTCCACACTGCTGGACATTTCTCATGGGGAATACCTACATCTTCCACCGCTCCCGTTCTTGATAACCCCAAAAGATGGCGCACTTCGTCACCCAGATATATTATCATTAAAACTAACAGCGTGGCAAATCCGATAGCTGACTTCACTACATCTCTACCAGTCACTACTCCAAGGGGTTCGAATCCGACCTTCAGATCCACTACTGTCCTCGTTACGTCTACACCGACAACTACTTCAAAAGGTTCGAACTCTGCTTTCGAACCCAATACAGTTGCAACCTCCGAATCCGCTGGGGACGGCACTGCACCAGCACTGTCGGATCCGACTACTGTGCCATCGAATCCAACAGCCTTTCATCCGGACATTAAATACATATTGGACTCCGCTTTAAAGCCTTCTACACGGAGGTCTTACGAAGCTAAATGGAAGTGTTTCTCTGCCTTTGCTGACTCTCGTTCATTCTCTCCATTTACATCGTCAATTCCTCAAATTCTTCAGTTCCTCCTGGAATTACACCACTCTGGACTGAAACCATCTTCGATTAAAGTATATATGGCGGCCATCGCCTATCATCGGGGTATGGTGGACGGTTCGTCCATTTTCTCCCAACCTACTATTAAAAGGTTTTTGAAGGGACTTTATAATCTGAATCCGTCGATCAGACCAGTAATGCCCACCTGGAGTCTCTCTGTTGTTCTGCAAGCGCTTACGAGAGCTCCTTTCGAACTGTTGGCCACAGTCGATTTACGTCTTGTCTCATGGAAGACAGCATTCCTAGTTGCGGTTACCTCAGCCCGGAGGGCCAGCGAACTCTGCGCTTTGCGTGTAGACCCACCTTATCTCAATTTTCATAGAGAAAAGGTTGTCCTGCGGCTCGATCCATCTTTTCTGCCTAAGGTATCCACACCCTTTCACATGGGGCAAGATACTATTTTACCTGCCTTTTTTCCGGCTTCGTCTACTCCGTTAGAAAGGACATTACATTCACTTGATGTTTGACGCTGTTTAGCATTCTACAGATCCAGGACTGAGTCTATCCGACATTCACATAGACTTTTCATTAAATATGCTGTCAGAGGCCAAGGTACCCCTGTCACTCCGCAGAGACTTTCTAAGTGGATAGTTCATACCATCACCCTGTCTTACCAACTGGCCAATATCGACTTGCCCACTACCCCTTGAGGCCATTCGACTAGGGCTGTGGCTACCTCATCGGCCTTCGCATCGGGAATACCGATGGACGATGTATGTAGAGCTGTTACTTGGGAGAATCCTTGCACTTTCACCAAACATTACCACTTAGACGTCCACGCTCGACAAGATTGTTCCTTCGGCAGAGCCGTTCTTTCATCTGTTCTTCGTTGAGGACACCTTCCCTCCTCCGTTATGGTAAGCTTGTTACCTACCCATATGTGTGATGCACAGAGGCCACGACGAAGAAAAGCAGGTTGCTTACCTGTAACTGATGTTCTTCGAGTGGCCATCTGTGCGGTCACACAGCCCACCCGCCGGCCCCGCTCGGAGTCGGTGAGTGGACCTCTGTCGTTATTGAATGTTATCATTGTTTCTTGGTACCGATATTCATTGTTCTCTCGGTACCGATACTGTTCACGGTAGAACTCATTTACAAGTCATTTTTTCCACAAGAGGGCGTCCGTTCGGTCGTCAAAGACTGAACAAAATGGTGGACGCTCCACTCTTTATAGGCTGTGGGGGAGGGGGAGCGGAGCTTTTTCCCGCCAAAATAAACCGTTAGCTTGTAATCTTCCGGCCAAAGGCACTGCGCAGGTGCAGCACCCATATGTGTGACTGCAGTTACAGGTAAGCAACCTGCTTTTCTCTGTGGTGAGGTTCTTGTTCATGGAGTCTTCCTCTAAATTTTCTGGGGTGGGATGCGATGCTCTCAAGTCACGTCTGGTTTGTAGCTTCCAAGCGGGACTGTCTATAGTCCTGTTTTACCCAGTGCTGATGTACCATACAGGCAGTCCCCGGATTATGAACGAGTTCTCTTCCTGAGAAAACAGAAATTCGTCTTTAAGTCGAATTTGTATGCAAGTTGGCTCATGGTTGGCCATCTACATTTGCGGGGGTTAGGAATTCAGGACACCCGTAAAAGTGGAAAAATCATGAATATTTCTAGTCCCCCGTCCCCTCTACCAACTCACCAGTGCCTCTTCCGGGGACTCCCTGTACTGTAACACTGTACCCATCCCTAGCAATCCATGCAGCTAAGGCATATGAGTGGAGGTCTGTGCCCAGAGGCATGGCATGGATAAGCTGCCTTGGGTATTCACTCCCAGTTCCTCCCTTCTGCAGTTACTTCCTGACGGTGGTATCTTGTAGATGTAGGAACCCTTCCTGCCTTTGCATCTGAGCATTTCCACAAAGGCTGCTGCTGAGCATGGGCAGGAACATAGGAAATTCTCATCATACTGTACTTTGATAATCGTGCATCAGCCTGGAATCTAGGAATTTTCTCAGTACTGAGTCAGGCCCCCGGCATTTTATTTATTTATTTATTTGGAATTTTTGTATGCCGTCCCATTCGCATAAGCCTCGGGACGGCTTCCAACATTATAAATAAATACATGTATATAAATACATACATATATAAAATCTGGGAACATCCTGGCACAAAATTATAAAACATGTATTATAATAAAATCAATGATGATTAAAATATCGTTTAAATAAAATCAATGATTATTAAAATATCGTTTAAATAAAATCAATGATGATTAAAATATCGTTTAAATAAAATCAATGATTATTAAAATATCATTTAAATAAAACCAATGATTATTAAAATGACGTTTAAATAAAAAGGTCTTGGCCTGGCGCCAACAAATAACGACGGCGCCAGGCGGACCTCTCTGGGGAGCACATTCCATAGGTTGGGCACCACCACAGAGAAGGCCCTCCTCTGGGTACTCCCCCTCCCAGTACCTTTCACGGAGGGTTCCCGGAGAAGGGCCTCTGCCGCTGATCTCAAGGGGCGGGAGGGCAAATATGGACGCAGGCGTTCCTTTAGATATCCAGGTCCCAAGCTGTTAAGGGCTTTGTAGGTGATGACCAGCACCTTGAATTGAGCCTGGACTTCAATGGGGAGCCAGTGAAGCTGGTAGAGGACTGGGGTTATATGAGAACAATGCCCAGTCCCCGCCAGCAACCTGGCAGCTCTATTTGTCTAACTGGTAGCTGTGCAGGGCTTCCGACAGGGACTTCCCCAGTTCTACTTGCAGATGTCGGGGGTGGGCCTGGTGTATTTGCATCAATATTTTAGCAAAGATGACCCAATATGATGGAGTATAAAGGATACTTTAAAGGATGATTACCACTAATGAAGTTTATGCCAGAGGAAACCAGGCTATCATGGGATCCTGACACCAAAGCTAGCGGACATCTTTGATGATGCTAAAGAGAGATCTGTGGTATCTCTTAGAGGGAGTTCCAACATAACACACTTGAAGGTGTGTGTAGAAGGCGCTAGATTGTCCTTTATTCATGATGTCACTCTGCATGGGATAAAATCATCTGGGCTGGGTCAGAATCCTTGAATTTCAGTGTCCCACTAGCTTAATTATGACTTTTTCTTAAGAATACTAGGAATTAGTTTGATGGGCATTCTGATAACTCTTCCCAACATTCCCTGGGGAGAATGAATTACTCTTAAGCCACATTAAATCCATAGTGTAGGTATAGCCATATAACAGAAGGATCGAGGTTAAAATCCCCAAGGAAGAGATTTCTTCCACCTCCAGAAGAAAATTGCTCTTGACTGAACATGCTCAATTGTGAATAACCTCTTCATAATAACTTCAACAAGTGTTTCCTCCAATTTGGACCTGATTCTATGAGCTCGTGGGCTCAGAGACAGGGTGGTCCAGGCATGGATGCCAACGGACTTGCCCCCTTGGGAAAATGGCAGAACTTCAGCCTCCAGTGCTGCCTCTGCACCTCTGCCAGGGCTTTTCTTTAGCCTGGCATAAGAAAGTGCAGAGCAGGGATGGGCTACCTATTCGTTGCAGCATGTTGGCTTCTGCAGCTTTCTTAAGCAGCTTTAGATTTCACAAGGCTTCCTTGAACTGATTTCGGAAAGACCTACGTTTCTTGATTGGGCTGCACTGCAAAAACTACACACTCACCTTCCTGCTGGATCTCCATGGTTTGAGTTCCACAGTGTAACCTGAGACATTCTAACAAGCTGAGTTTCTCTTTTAGCTCTGCCAAAAGACAGGACCCTCCGAAGACCCCCACCACTCCCAAAATCACCACCTTCCCACCGGTGCCTGTAACGTGTGACACCGTGCGTAACAAGTGCCGCGAGATGTTGACCAGTGCTCTGCAAACAGACAGTAAGTACCAGGAGAGCAAGACCCGGGCGGTCCCCGCCACCATCCTTTCTCCCATCCCTAAACGTTTTTTCCCTTCCATCCCTGTGTCTTTGCACTATGCCAGAGAATTGACACGGCCTCTGCTGGGCTCCTTCTGACTTAACCCTGGTTAAGAGAGAACCAGGGTTAAGTCAGAGAGGCATCCAGTGCAAGGAAGACTCTGAGCTTAAAAGCACAGCAACCATCCCCAGTGGAATGTATTTTCTTGGGTTCATTTTGAAAGTACTTGCTCTGCAGTCACTGAAGCAGAAGGCAGAAGAAAGTGCTGTAGAAAGCCAAATACGCTATGATGGAAACATCATTATCTGTAATGATCATAAACATTTCTTTTGATTGAAGAATCCAACAGGCGAAAAATGTGTTCACCAGTCAGATGAGTTTACAGGAAATGGGCAGTGTTGCTCCTCTCCTAACATCAGCCACATCTAGCGGGGGGAAGTTGTCTCTCCATCCTTGGTGCAGTGAGCTCTTCTCCCATTCCATGTTGGTATCCTATAAAGTGAAGGAGACTAGCGGCTCCTGCCTCAGGGAAGTGAGCTTGGTCTGCCTCCTGCCTCCTTCCATCTCCTTTAATCCTAAGGATGGGCATTGGGCTCTGGAGCATGAATGAAATGTGGCTGACTTGAGCTGGAGTTCACCGAGCCCAGCCTGTAGAATTCACCCATCTGGCAACTGGGGTGTGCATTCAGGGATGCAGTCCTGTATATATTTTTTCATGCTGCTATAGATGCACCAGGGAGCCACTTCCTGTAACCTTCATTAAACAAAGATGCCTGTAAGCAGAGGACTTCCGTGTGTAGCAGAACCCTTCAATTTGAAAGAGCAAGTGCAGCGAGGAAGCGAGTTGATGTGGTCACGCTGCACTGAAATTCACTCACTTTACACACGGAAGGTCCCAAGCACCTTCCCTGGCATCTCCAGGTGGATCTGGAAAGGCTCGTGCCTGGACGCCTGGAGAGCCATTGCTGGGAGTTAGGCTAGATCGGACTCGGTGGAACTGAATGAGTCCCACCTTCCCAGATTCACAAAAGTGCGTGTTTGCGGTCCCTGAGCAAGCCCAGTCTCTCAGCCGCACTCCTCTCCTGGGGCTGGTTCAGACTGCAGTTTGAGAACTCATTTGCATGCTCCAGCTTTGCTCGTTGTGCTGAGACAGCAGGATGCAAAGGTCGGGCTGTCAGGCTTGGACACGGGCAGCCGGGCTCCAGGCGCTGCTCAGCTGTGACATTTCTGGTAGGTGGCAGGTCGCCATCTCTGCCCATCACAGACTCTCCAGGCCACCGAACCAAGAAGTTACGTAATCTGCTGTTGTGGGAAGCCGTGGCGGTTGTCTTAGGTGGCTCTCAAAGGGCAGAGCACGTTCACGCGGGGTCAGGCTGTCCATGGCTGCTGGTCATGATGGTGGTGGAAGAGTTCCAGCTCCAGAGGTGGCCTACTGCAAAGACGCTGGGGGCGGGGCGGGGGGGCACCGTGGGAAGCAGGCGGGGTGTTGATGTGCCTTTTCGGTGCTTCGTCCAGCACTGCTGCTTGTATAGTTTTAGGGCTTAAAAAGGCTACTTTAGACCCAGCACGAGGTGCTCTCCCGGTTCTTTGCAGGTGACTACGTGGCCATCGGTGCCAACTGCGAGCAGATTGCCGCCCGGATTGAAGAATATATCCTTGCTTGTGCCTTCGGAGAGGTGTCCGGGGCGGGGGGGGGCTTTCTGAGCAGCTGCTCTTTGAAGTGCAAGAGCCGAGCCCTCATCCGTAAAGCACCCCTTACCACGATGCATGCAGGACGGTTTGGCAAGGCATCCCCCAGAGAAACCCGGGCAGTGTCATTTTTTGCAAATGCTGAGAGTTCAGGCTGGGTCCCTCGCCTGTGGACGCGTGTCCTGCCAAGCAGCGCTGTGCACCGTCATGGTGGCAGAAGCCCAAAGTCCATGCTGCAGTCGGCATGGGCGAGAACAGTTTAAGCTGCAGAGCCTTGCTCAGAAGAAGTTAAACTTGCAGTGTTACCTGTGTGCTGGTCTGGAGCCGGCCAGTGGCTGAAATGCACCTGGAAGGAGGTGTCTCTCCTCAGTAGAACCCACCTCTACTGAAAAACACTGTTCTCCAGGGGGTCCTGATCTGTGTGTTCTCATGAGGCTGGGGTGTCGCCGTTTTCTCAAGGGGGACTTCCAGAGCTGCTGGTGTTCCTGAGGTGGAGGGTGCGGGCAGGAAAGCCTCTTGGGGAGCAGAGCATTAATAGCCTAATGATACCTTGGCATTTGCCCTCCTCTTCACTGGTGAGGGTGACCTGCCGGAGGGGCTTCCCCGGTGGCCGCTTGTCAGGATGGTCTCCTCCATCCTCGGGTCCCAGGGAAAGGCCCTTGGCTGTGAGCTCCAGGGTCCTGCAAGACAGACGTGCTGGTGCATTTGGGGCAGGTGGGCAAAAATGTGTGTTGCTGCTCCTTAGTGGCTTTTGAACTTATCTATCAAGATGTGAAGAACACGGACCTGAAGTACAAGAACCGCATCAGGAGCCGCCTCTCCAACCTGAAGGACTCGAAGAACCCTGACCTCCGAAAGAATGTCTTGTGCGGAGTGATCAGTGCGGAGCAAATCGCAGTGATGACCTCAGAGGTGAGGCGGCGAGCGGGGCAGGCCGAGGAGCCGCTGCGCCCGCGCCTGCCTAGCAACTAGCCCGCCCGCGGAAGCCCAAGGGTGCAGCGCTGCCGCCGGCATGGCCAGCTGCAGGGAGCCGCTTCCTGCGCAGCTTTAGAAAGGGCTAAACGTGTCAGTACGCGGGGAAAAGGCCGGGCGCACGGATGATGCCGCCAGCTTTGACATACAACACACGGATCTGGAGGATGCCTTGAAGAAGGACTAATGTGTGGCTGGAGATGTGAGGCCGCCAGAAGCTGCGTTTTATCCTCACTGCCTATTTTATAGGCAGCACTAATATCCAGTGCCCCCCGCTATCGACTCTGTTTTAGACTATGGGAGTGAATGTGCAGTTTGCTCAGCCTCCCTTTTGCCGCAGTCTCTCCTCCTCACAGAAAAGAGGGCTTGTTTTCCCATTCCTCCCCTCACTGGTGGAGGCAGTGATGGCCAGGCTTTGCTAGTCCTGGCTTAGTCAAAAGAAATGCCTAAGGGAAGCCCCTGGACTGACAATAATTTGGCTTAATCCTGGACTGGAGCTGGCATATCTGGGAAGTAAGACGTTAGCACCGGGAACTGGATTGGGTTCCAGTACCTTTTCCCACTGTCTGCAGGAGAGTTTGGCTTAGATTAAGGGAAGTGCTTCCTCACGCAGTGCATGGTTAACTTATGGAATGGATGACCATTGATTTAGATGGCTTTAAAAGGGGATTAGAGAAATACATGAAGGACAAAGCTGTCCAGAACTGTTCTTGTGGCTACATGAAAGGGGTACTGTGTCCTTGAATGCCAGTTGCTGGGAGCAAAACCAGGGGAGGGCTCTTGCTTGGGTGCTTCCCAGAGGAATCCATGCAGGCACTGGCAGAAACAGCACTGGATTAGACAGACCTGCAGCTTGATCTACCTGGGTTGTTTTCTTAGATTATAGTAAATGAACTTTGTGGATTATATATTGACCCACCCAGTTACCATTGGCGTTTTTTGAGTGGCAACTGTTAGGGTAATTAACTTGGTCTCTGATTTATTCCATTCGTGTATAATGATCTTCCAGTTTGAGGTGAATTCTTCATGCACCCGATGAAGAGGATAGCATGCAGCAAAGCTTATGCCAGGATAAATTTGTTGCGAGGTGCCGCAAAGCCTTTCATTGCTTGTGCTGCGGCAGACTAACACGGCTGCCCTTCTGGAAGTAGAATGTAGAGGGCCGTTTGCTAACAGTAACGGGAGCCACCTGAGGTGATGTCTTTGCCTTTTTCCCCTGAAAGGAAATGGCCAGCAATGAGCTGAAAGAGATCCGCAAAGCCATGACCAAGGAAGCCATCCGGGAGCATCAGATGGCTAAAACGGGAGGGACCCAGACTGACCTCTTCACCTGTGGGAAGTGCAAGAAAAAGAACTGCACCTATACACAGGTGAGGCTCTGGACTTCACAGGTTGACTTGGACGGCCCCCTGGATTTGCTCATCAAGGCCTCAAGCATCCTCTCCTTCTGTGAAGTCCACGGGGGGCGGGGTGTGGAGGGGGGTTTCAGTCTTTCCATGGGAGTGTGGACAGGGACCGGCCCGACAGGACTGAGTTCAGATGGAGACGGGTGAGTTGAGAGAAGCGCAATACAGTTGCGTTGTCCTTTTCCAACTTACCAGAAAATGATTATTGGAGAAGGCAGGAATGTCTCAACACTAGCAGTGGGGGGGGGGCTGTTATCCCCCAACCTAAGAGTTATTTTCTTGTGCCTGTTGCAACATCAGAACAATGTAGTTGCCAGAGTTCCTAAAGCCAGGAGAACCACTAAGCCCGGGCACATGTTGACACTGTCCTGTTAGGAAAATGAATCCAGCCTTCCCTTGTGTTGCTGCAGCTTCTTGATCATGGTGCTTGTCCCAGAGATGTTGCAGGCGGCATGATGGACGTCTTTGAAACAAACGAATTCCAATTTCCCAAGCCTTGGCTCTTTGTAATGCCTCTTTCTGCTAAGGGCTGGTTTATAAAATATTCCTGGGATGGGGAAAGGTCACAAGACGCTGACATTGGTCTATCGTTCCCCATGATCAAGATCGCTTAGAAGTGGAAGGTGTAAGATGGATCCTTGCATAAAGCAAACAGTTGATTATTGTCATTTTAAGCTGGGGGTTGACTTTCCCACATGGCAAGTTTGTCGGAAATTTTAACCCTAACAAGCTGGGGAGGATATCAACATCCTATATTAACATGTCTTTGTGTGGAGGATTCAGTATTAAATGGTTCAGATGTATGTGAGATGTTGTGTACTTTTGGTACTCCTCTTCACAGAGGATATTCTAGAATTGGGAAGGTAAAAAGCAACTGAAATGGCCAACTAGTGGAAGCACCTTGCATGTACAAGAAGGCAAAAACATATTTATTTTGGAAAAAACGATTAAGTGCCCATCCTGTCTCTGCATACTAGTTGTGAGGACCATTGAGCTGTCCTGAGGCTTGTTGCAAAGGACGGCATAGAAATGTTTAAATTAAATTAAAAAAAAAAGTAAAGTCAAGTCAAATTAAGGGCCTTGTATAATCTGCTCAGTTCCTGTTTTGTGGCTGGTTAAGTGTCATTCCCTCTGTCATCTGTTTTCCACTTCAGAAAGCTAGACAATAAAGTCCTCCTGAATTTACAGAACTTCCACTGGTTCATAATATTTTGCATACTTAGGTCAGCAAAGCCCACACAACGAGATCACCATACTGCAAAGGCTGGAGAGAGATCAGAGAATGGCAGAACTTTTTTTTTGTAATGGCATTTCCATGGCATTATTTTTACACTGCTTTCACGGCTGTGGCAGCATGCAGCAGCAGTGACGACCAGCCGGATAGATGACTTTAAAAAGGCTTAGTCCCATTTAAGAAGAGTATGGTGAATGGGACAAGCCATGGGAACCCCTGTGTTTAGAAGTGGCACCTCTCTGCCTATGAGATGCCAGAGCCAGAGAAAAGCAGGGGTGGGGGGGTCTTACCTTCACATGTTGCTCACGGATTTTCAGAGTTGGCATTGCTTCAAACAGGAAGATGGGCCAGATGCACCTTCAGCCTGATTTAGTAGGGCTCTTCTTTATCTCCTTAGAAAGTGAGTGCCTTTTAGGCCATTTCTGTAGCAGATCTTAACTAGAAAGGCCTTAGAAAGATGGTCCCGTCTAGGCTGGCACGCTTGCTCTGGGACATCTCGAGCTTGCATCCAGGGAGGCCGTTCCCCATAAATTCCACCAGACCTGTGAAGAACTGCAGGAAGTGCTCTCACGCAGCTTCTGTGGAGCTCATGCCAGGAATGTCCCCTTGGGTTGCGCTCCAGACATCACAGGGTCTCTGCAGAACAAAATTCACTTCGGCTGCTCCTTTGAGGGCTAATCTTGGATTCCTGCATCAGCAGTGGACAAATGAACAAGGAGATGAGAAGAGAGTGTGGCTTGACAATCTTCACAGAATCATAGAAAAGTAGCCTGGGAAGAGGCCAAGGGGGCTGTCGGGTCCAGCCCTCTGCTGTTGCAGGCCACCAATTTACACCATCCCACTCGGAGGGCTGCCCAGTTTTTTTACCTTGAATGTGGGAGAGCCCCTTGCCAGAATGGCTGGCATGCATCCTCAGGTGTGTCTTTCATTTACACAGGTGCAAACTCGCAGTTCAGATGAGCCAATGACCACGTTTGTTGTGTGTAATGAGTGTGGGAACCGCTGGAAGGTAAGCATGATCACCTTTGATTGCAGTCTAAGGATCAAATGACATGTGACACACAATTACATCTTTTTCCCCCCGGAGGTGGCTCTGAGATTAACTGGGGAACCGGGTGGGGGTGTTGCTTCATTCTTTTTCTGCTAGCGATTTGTCTACTCCCAATCGCTTCCTTCCCACCTTCTTCCTGACCACAAGGAATAAGGTGGTTTGCGAAAAGCATGTTTGAGCAGAAAACGGCGAGAGGGCAAGGCTTAGGGTGGCAGCCCTTCCATTCTTCTGGTCAGACAAGAATCCTTCTGTTGCTGTTTTTTCAGTTCTTGTCCAAACCAGCTGAGAAAAGAAATCATGACATTGCCTGGAAACATGAGTGAAGTTGTGGGGCACATAAGCCTAACAGAGTCTTGATATGTTTAATAAAAGCTGCAAATCAACAGCCACTGTAGGGAGTTGCGAATTTGTTGCTGCCTGATACGGGTGTTTTGACTCCCCTCTTCAGCCTGGTTTTTAACAGCAGACTACCAAGCCCTCGTGCACATTGCTTTTGACACTCTCTACCCCAGTTCAAGAAGCAAAGGCTGAAAACCTGCTTGAACTCACAGAACTAAGGGTGCAGTTTGCATTCTGGCCAAAGGCTTCAGTCCTGTGTAAGGAGATTTCAAACTGGGGTTCGTTTTGTGCCCATATATGATGGCTTCTCCCAAAGCATCTTGCCACTTGTGGTTGCTGAGGGCACGGAGGAGAATTGCATTACAGATCCCTCTTTTCCTGGTCCCACACCCAGAAATTGTAGTCCTCTGGGGAGAGGGACTGTTGAATTGGGTTGTCTTGGACAGGGTCACTATGTTCAGTGGGACTTCATTACGTTATGCCCCAGACAGTAGCCAAGGATTGATGGCCAGTAGCCAGTAGTTGGGGTTCTATTGCTCCCATCTAGCCTCTTTTCATGAGGTTCGTCTTTGCACTGCCAACTCTCACAGCAACAAGAAAGCTGAACCCTAAGCCCACCATTCTGCAAAGAAAAACCCTTCTCTGTTGCTTCTGTGAGGTTTTTCTTCCTCGCCTGAGCAGAAAAAGCTTTTGGCGGTGGCAGGTGGAGTCCGCAGACCTCTTCCTTGTCTCTCTCAATCCTTGTCTCTCTCAATCCCACCAACCTCTTGCAGTTCTGCTGAGATATCTCCGATGGGGACTGCGATAGCCAATCCTGGGCTGGATCGTTGCCTCATGTTTCCAACACCGCCAGCAAATTTTGTACTGTTTTTGTCGCCGAGTTTGCTTTGTGCTTTGTACATCAACCAGGTGAGGCACGCCCGGCTGTCTGCATGCCTGCAGAAGAAGGCAGTGGCTGGGAACGGAGGCTGGGAAGACACCAGAAAAGAGTGTGTGAACTGAACACCTTATCAGTATTGTGAGGGTTTGGAACAGTATTACATGTCTTTGTGTATTTTAAGAGAATATATTGGCCAGGTGCGTAGACTTGGATCTCAAAGTGCACAATAACTTCTTGCCATGTTCCTTGGTGCCAGTTGCATCTTTCAGAAGCTAAATTCTATGTTTGTAAGCACTGGTTTGCTTGGGCTGGTAAGAGCATATGCTAGCAATTGACTACAGGAAAAGATTGTAAATTATGACTTCGGACCATCAGCGCCAGTCTGCTAATGTAGCTAAGGGTAGATTGGGAAAAGGAGGGGCAAGTGCTATCCTTCGTAACAGAAATAATGTGGAGTGTGGCGGGAGAGCCTCCCGCACCTGGCGCAGCTCACGCTAACCCAGAACAGTTCTAATTACCTCTCCTCTTCGCTGCATCTAGCAATCTGTGCCTATTGTTTTTTGTTTCTGTTTTTTGGGGGGGTATGTTCAATGTACAGTTGCAAATGAAATAATAAAAAATCTTAAATGGAAATGGACATTACCCGCACCCGTGATGTACCCACATTATCAGCTTTCCGGCTTTCAAGTTTTCCTGGGGCAAAACTGAGTTGGCCTGATCTGCACCTTTCCTGGGGCTGTATGCCCTTCTGAAGTTTTGGCAGGGCTGAGAGGGTAACCAGACTGGGTTACCCTACCGAGGGTAAGAACCTGGCTTGCTAGTGGTCAGGCCAGGCTTTCACTCTCTCCAAACCCAGATGTGTGTGGTGGTCATGAAATGTTCTGGGCTACTGCCCAGTTGAGTGGCCTTCTTTGGCATCGTTCTGTTTTAAAGGACCAGAAGCCTTCACAGCTTATCTTGCTGAATGTGCTCTTCAGCAACCAGGGCGTAATGGATTCTGGAGATGTAGAATCAATTTTATGGCATCTCTTCAGCTTGGTTGCAAAAAAGAAAGCCCAAAACTGGTGGGAAGGCTCTGGCCGCATGTGGAAGGGAAAAATCCATTGCTTATTTCCTGAAGTGCAGCTACAAACACCTTTAAAAAAGAAGACACCACCCAAATTATTCTCACCGTTGTTCTAAAATCACCCCTAGCTAAAAACAACGGTGAACATTCTTCATTTGTTCATGGCGAAAAATGATGGATCAGCCACATGGAGTGAGAATGACCCGACATCATGATTTGAAAATGCAGGACAGCGCCAGCTTTGGGTCTCTGCTTTGAGTGTTAGACTGGATTCTGCAGTGATTTTGCATCTGCAGCAGCTGGAAAAGACTGTGGGCGGAATCCTATGTATGTTTAGACAGAAGCTGACTGAGAAATGCTGGGAGTTAAAGGGCTCTTTTCATATAAACCTGCACAAGATTGCACTTTAAATGCAGCAAATACAACATGCAAGGCTGCCCATCAACTTCCAAACTCCATCCTCTAGGTTTTACAAACATAAATGTATTTACTCGCCACCCCGAAGTATTTTAATCTTGGCTGGAGCTGCTCGGTACGGGGAATGAACGCCTGTTACTTTCAGCTATTGCTGTTACCATGAGACTCCTTCACTTGAAGTCACCCATTGGGTAGGGAATTTGGAGCTGGATAAAGTGCCTGTAAGGATCACGGTTCACTGCAGAGGAGCATTTCATGCTCAAAGAATTGGCAAGACCTTCTAAATTATTATTGATAATTAATAATAATCAGCATAAACTGTATTTTAAAGAAACTGCCCTGAAGGACAGGTAATTCTTCTCATAAAAATGGAGGTACAAGGGAACCATTTTGCCTGCCAGAGCTCAGCACAGGGTTCGCCACGCACTGAGTCCTGGACGTTCCCCACGATAGACCCCTGGGCACTCACGGAAGAAGCACAAGCAGCAGCTGGCCAAATCAGACTATCTGTGACTCAGCATCCTCTTTCCGAAAGTGGCCAGCCAGGTACCCTTTGGAGTTCTCCCAAGCAAGGCCTGAGGGCCAAAACTGCCCGAGGACACTGGGCTGCATTTAGCTGCCGCAGCCGAGAGATCTGTACTCTGTGCCTTGTCTGGAATCCTTTTAAAAATGAACCCATCCAAGTCACCGCTTCTCGAATTCTGCATATTGCATTGTGAAGAAGCATAATCTTTGGTCAGTCCTGGTCCACCGCCGAGGAATCTAGGGAGCCGAGAGGCTGCCTTATGCAATCAGACCGCTTGGTCTGCCAAGTTCAGTTCTGCTGGCTTTCAGGCCCAGCTGTTCTCAGAGATGGACCTGGGTCCTTCTACATACAGTGTCGGTGCTCTGCCATGCAGATTTCCCTGGGATTTCTGGGCTACAAACCACCATGCTTCTCTAATGCACTTTCTCCACCCAGCATGTCTCACTCGACGAAATTAAATCACAGTGCCCTTGTTTTTCTAAATGAAACTCCCTGCAAAGTTGTAGCCCTTTCTCAGAAAGATGCACCAGATGCCTGGCAATTTGGATTGTACTTGTCTTACAATTCTCTTTCTTGAGCTTTGGCGACCCAAATGGGACACCATCTCCCATAAGCTATCCACCCCATGGATCTCCCAGTTTGTCACAGGCACTTTTGAGAATGAGCAAGAAACCCAAACATGTTCATGCTGTTAAAGTCAACGGTCAGAAAAGAGCTTGAAAAGGAGGGATGCCCTCCCCACTGCCATCTTCCAGAAGCATCATGCTAAAGTGTTCCGAGAGGAAACATCCGCCAGAGAAACAGCTGCAGGAAGCCTGTCACAAATGATGGGCGAACCAGGAATGTTCAGAGTCATCAAAATTCCCAGAACTTCACTTTGAAGCTTGGCTTGACTGACTCCCTCGAACAGGAAATGCTCAGATTTTGAAGGGGAAACATGTTCGTTTAAAAAGGGAGCTCATTTTACCCATTGTCTAAAATATGAAAATGCATCTTTGGAAAAGTGCCTTTTGAAGATATGCACCTTGGGATCACAAATTGAGAAATGTGCAGTTTTCAAAATAATGCATCCCAGTGTATGTTCGGGTTTATGAGAACACAGGCCTTTCTGCTTTAGACTTCCCCGCCAGAAAGCACAGCAGTAGCAACCTTGGAATGAAGAACTTGCGACCGATGCTGTTTTGGCCTCTTCCATCGCAAGCCCATTTCCTGTTGCAGGGTCTCTTTAAACTCTACATGGGAAGGCAAGAACTGTTTACCTTTGCAAGCTGTTCTGAACGTTTTCCTGGGTTCACAGGGTTGTCTTGCCACAATGCTCTAAGGAGTCACTATTACTGGCAGCCAATTTCAGTTATTGAGCCTGTACAAGCATGAGTGGCTAATGGATCATCTATTTGATAGCTTGGCCTACCCCAGTCAGTCAGACAAAACTATCTAGTGCACCGAGGACTGCTTGCAAGCATCACAAGCGGCATCCACAAGTGCATGTACACAGGTTGCCTGGAAGAAGCCAGAGCAGGGAACTGTATCCTGCTCCCACCATTCCCAGCCAGCATGCTTCGTTGGATTTCCAGCCATGCTCAGAGGCTCCCTATGGATAAGCTAGATGCCAGTCCTAGTAGGTTGTAAGCCCCGCAGAGAGCCTATGGCTGGTGAGGAGGCCTATACATTGAATGAATGTACCCTTGGAAGTTTTCTAAAATTCCTTGCAGCCTCCTGTGAAATTCCTATAGATGCTTCAGTGTAGGAGAGACTTCCCAAGTTTGCTTTGCAATTAGCTGTGGGCAAAAGCTCTGCGGGAAGTCGTGCAACGCTCAGGCCTCACCCCGAGAAACACATTTATGATGTCTTTAGCCGACTTCTGCTCACTCGTCACACAATGCGGCCTTATTCATTTGCAAGTCTTTTTCCAGGTGTGGCACATAGGAAGCATTCATCACATGCACTCGGCCCCATCATGCCTTGTTGTGGCCAAGAAATGGGGCTGAGGATCAAGCCGCGCAGAAGGGTGTGTGTTTGGGTTCACCATGGCTGGGAGCCGGAGCATTTGGCCTGGTCTGACACGCATCCTTGTTGTTTTCCCACTAGGAAGGCGTGATAATAATCCCTTGTATCAGCAGACGGCTTCCACAGCTGGGTGCTATAGAAATGAACTGGTGCAAATAATTTGGAATTCTGCCTTTTCTTTTAAAATTCAAAATAGTAGGGGCTCCTTAACTCTTCTGCCCCTTGACCTTTTTCCCTGCTGAGAACCACCCATCTCAACAAGATGTTTTCCAAGTTAGAAATACTTCCTGTATGAAATTGACAAGATCACTCCCCAAAAAAGAATAAAAAGGAATTATATACACCTTGGGATGTACACCCAAAGGTATCTATAGAGTGTTGTCCCTTAGCTCTATTTTGATGCTATTTGCAAGTAAACCTTTTGCCAAGGACTAGTTTTCATTGCTTCTGCTTTTTGTCTCCCACAGCCGAGTAATGTGCTAATAATCACATCCATCAGCAAGAACAATCTTCCTGCAATGGCTTGATTTCTTGGTGGAGCACACCAAACACCAGCTCCATATTCAGTCCAAGATGACAAAAAGCCACCCTACGTCTCCAGACTTGTCACCTGATTTGCCTTTTGGTGTGACGGTGCCGAGTGAACCTGAGTTGATAATAGCATCAATAGGTTGAAGCAGTGTCTGGCCAACATCCAACTGGGTGGATTCTCTCCTACGAAACTGATATGCCCATCTCCAATGGAGTATTTTCCTCTGCAGATACTTTGCAGTTACAAATTGGCCTTGCCTGATGTTTCCCTCTTAGGTTTGCTATGCAGTGCACACGACACACAGCCCAGCTAAACCCCTAAGCCATAAAATGGACAAGATTCATGGCAATACTTCAGGACGAGTCAAATTTGGAAGGCCCATGTGCAAAAGGTCATTTGCTCCAGCATGGGTCTTGCCATAACTTTAGAAGCAATTTTCTCTTTTATGAGACAGAGACCTACCTCACAGGAGAGTGGTGAGGGTCAACTCAATACATAACAAGGTGCTTAGCAAATGCATTGCACAACTGGAGCCTGCAGCGAACCCACAATGAGGACTAACATGATGCAGTGTTCCAGCCCAGCAGCCCTGCCTTCTTGCAAATCAGCCATGTGTGTCACTGAGCAAGCTCAGTCCCCACTGGGCCAACTTATTGCTGAAACATTTTTCTTTGTCCTTTTGCAAGGTAAGAGTTTGTCCAAGAATGCTGATCCTTCTCTCTTGTGATTGTGGTGGCATCTTGGCTGCTTAAGAAGGCATTTGTAGAACACACCTGCTATTAGTGTATGTATGTGTGTGTGTGTAAAGCGCTGTTCTCCCCAGGCCCCATGTTCTATGGCACACTGTCAAATTGACAAACATATAGCAGGGTAGGAGGGGACGCTAGCAAGCCCTTCCATTTCTTATTATGTATTTCCGGCATTAAAGCGACTGCATATTCCAAGCGCTGCCATGAACATTCTAAGAGACCTCCTGCCATTCTCATTTTCCTATACGATTTATTATTTCTGGTGGAAGAGAGTTCCAGCGGTCACAAAAAGATGTTTCTGAAGACTGCCATGTGGATGCACGTTCTCTAATCTGAGTATTGTATGGAAAACAAACTCCACTGCTTTTTATGTGACTCCAACCAAATTTTCTGTGTTGCAACCAGAAATGAGTGACGGTTAGCTGAAAGACACTAGAGAAGGATTTGTTTTGGCAGTGGAACTAGCACCCCAGCATGTGCAGAGTTGCTTCTACTAGTGAGGGCAGAGACGGCATGAGAACAGTCCTCGGTGTTTGTGAACATTGTGTTTTGCTGGACACAGCTTTCAAAACACACACGCGCTCATCTCTCGAGTTAGGAGGCAGTGGTACTCCGGCTCTTCCTCCTGCCCCAAACAGAGGGACACAGACCTGAAACTTATCCCTATTATTAGCATCTGCTACAATTCCAGCACCCAAAACAAAACAATAGAGAAGCATTTCAAATCATGAAACAGGAGAGGGGGAAAGTGGCGATGCCACACCTTTGATGGAAGGTGACACAAAACCAGCGGCATCTCTGGAGTAAGGGAGAGTTCGTAAAGTGAGAGCAGCCCAGGTGGATGTTGGTGGGACCTGAAATGGTTCGGGTGAGAACTTCGCCTTGAGCAACTAGGCCTGCAGAATGGACAGGCGGCTGTCACATCCCATCCAAGTGGGTCTTCCTTATGAGAAGATCAGCCACAGCGCGATGGGGGCAGCGTGAAGCTGGACAACGACTGGCCTTCGCCAGAGCTCTCCATTCCACTCAGAGCAGCTAACGTAAGAGAAACTCAGCTGGGTGGGACCATGGGTCCGCCTCGTTTAGCAGCTGGCTTCCCACAGTGGCCCGAATCAGGTGCTTGCAGACAGCCCTTCAGCAGGATATCCAGGGCCTTCTGCGACTCAAGGCAGGACGGCTTGGCTTCCAGGGCTCTGGAAGCGTGTGTCCAGCGGCAAGTGTGTGCTAACACACAGCCAAGGCCATCACACAACCCCTGCTGTAGGTTTGGGGCAATGACTTTCTTATTCTGCTGAAGGAGAGAGAAGGCCTCAATTCAGCTCCTGAAAGCATTGGTGGACTCACATTTTCCATGTGAGAGAGAGCCCTGCCCTCTTTCCAAAACCCGTTCTGAGCCCTAGAGCTTCCTGCTCAGATCTGGCTGGCTTGGGAAGCTTCTTGGCCATCAAAGGCCAAAAGCCTCCTTGGTCTTCGCAGTGCAAGCGACTGCATGAGGTCAGCTCAGAGGCCCCTCCGTGGACAAGCCTTCTGCACCCATCACAAAGCCTGTCGGGTTTCCAGGACAGCTGGGCTTACTTTGAAGCTGGTTCTGGGGAAGGCTTACGACAGGCCTAGTGGGAAGCTCAGCTCTCAATGGAGCTTTCACAACCCTACCTGTCCTTTGAAGGGTTCTGAGACCAGCCTCATGCAAGGTTCCTCCCTCACCGAGATGAGAGAAGCCTTCCAGAAGGGCGTGTGTCCCCAGCATGAGGAAAAGCAACTAAAGCTCTTCTGGGTTTTGCAGAACCTTTCTCTAGTGAAGAAGCATCTTCCAGATACCAAATACTTAAGTGCAATTTAGATTCTTCTAATCCTAATCCTAGGTAAAACATAGATATCCAAATGCATTAGACTTCGACTCCCAGCATTCTTGACCACTGCCCTACCAGCAGCGTTTGTGGGAGCTGACGTCCTAAAAATTTACATGACATGGATCCTAGACTACCAACTGACTGGCCCGATGAAAGTTACCACCTGAACCACTTGAGATCTCTCTGCATCTACAGGACCACCACGGAGACAACTTCTTGAACACGGGGGAGATGACATTTCGAAGAACAACATTCAGAACACACGGAGTTTCGCCTTTTCCTTCCACCACGTTGTCTGTGGCGCCTCCTCCCGAACCCTCCCCCCTCCCCCAAACGTGGCTGCTTCCATCCATACTCCAGTTCTTCGGTGTGGTCAACCAGAGGCCGGCTTGCCAACCTGGATTCAGTAGTATAACCAGAGGCCTGAGTATCGAGCTTCAGGGGAAAGCAGGTGCCGCTGCCCACTTTTCTGGTGGAAGAAGACAAGAGGGGATTGCATGGAGAGAGCTTCCCAGTGACAGAACAGCTGGGCTGAAGTCCGAACCAGAGAGAATACGGGATTTGGAGCACCTGGAATGCCATTTTAGGTCTCTTAGTTCTGCAAGACCAAGTGGGTTATGTATATTTATACACCCCTGCAGTATGAAAGCCAATCGACCGCTCCCTCACTGTTTCCCTTCCGCTGGCGGCAGCCAGGCTTAGGACTCGGAGGACGACCGCGAGAGGCTCTGGAGCAGTGCTTTGTATATGGCCGAGTTCAGAAAACGCGGGTAGGAGTCTCTGTGCATGAGTGTGTAGATCTGTAGCTGCGCGTCGTCGAAGGTGTGAGTCGACGGCTCCTGCATCTTGCGGTTGATGCCTTCGCGCACGCGGGAGTCCAGGCTGACCTGAACAATGGGGGGCGGGGGGGGGCAAGAAAAAACACAGCTTAGGAAAAGAGTGGAGGCAGAGCAGCAACGACGACGGCCCGAAGAAAGATGAAAGGATCAACAGGGTGAAGAAAAGTTGGGCTTCGGAGCAGATGTTACCAAGGGCAGCTCTAAAGCAAAAACCTAAGATTCCTTGGTTGCAATTTTGTTCTCATCATCATTACATTGCACGGATACCCTGCCCCTCTTCCTCTAGGGTGGAAGCCAAGGTGGCTTACACAGCTCCATTTGACCCTCACCACAACAGCCCTGCGAGGTGGGTTGGGCTGCAAGGGAGTGACTGGGCCAACATCACCCAGGGACCCGATCCTGGATCTCCCTGCTCCCCAGTGCAACACTCTTGCCACCAGCCCATGCTGGCTCTCCTGCCAGCTCGATGGAGCCCAGCCTCCCCCAGCCTGGTGCTCTTCAGGTGTGTGGGGCATGCTGGCTGGGAATGGTGGGAGCTGTAGTCCCACACACCTGAGGCTCCCTAGGCTGGATCCCATCCTCAGCAATTCCCACTTCATGCTCCAGAGCCACCAGGTGTCCCACCCACCACCGTAGCTCCGTTTCTGAAAGCTGATGCTGAAGATGGGCCCCTCGCAGCCCTCTGGAAGTGAACCCTCGGCACCCCGCCAGGCAAGCGTGATCTGGAAGGCCATGTCCCTGCTCCGGGAGAGGAACTGCTGGACCAGCTATGAAGCATGGGGTTGGAAGCAGTTCCCCGGGGCTTTTCTAGCAGCTTGCTGGCCTCTACCAGGGGAACCCTCCGGATGCTCCCGGAAATTCAGCTGGAAATCTGGAAGGCCACCTACAGATTCCCACCTGCCTCTCTACCAATTATCTTCCATCTCTTTGCCACAGTCTTGGATTGCACTGACCCTGCAGAACTTGAGTACGGGGCCTGGGACTCTGCCCATCGGAGCCGTGCTGGACCATGGGCGTGCTGGATGCCGGCGTGACCTTCCCAGATGGGGCCTGTTCCTACCCCCAAGATGCAGAATGTTGGCCTCTGGGGGGCCACAGGGGAAGCGACCCCCCCACTATGCAAAAACTCAGTGCCAGCTGAAAACCCTCCTCTGGCGCCAGGGGCTGTCTTCCTGGGGTTGCGGACAGGGCCCGCTACCTGCTGTGCCCTCCAGCGGTGCTTCTCCCCTTCTTGCGCCGCCGCTTTTTCACCTGCCCTCTCCAAGGGGCACAAGTAATGACAAGAGCAAGGCAACAAGCCTCCCACACTCCGACACACGGATCGGGCCCAGGGGGAGGAGGGCAATGAATGGGCAGTGGCTGCGCAGCAAGGGGGAATCCGGCTCCCTCACAGAGGGGACCCGCTGCAGGACTTGCTCCCAAGAGCAGCCCCAGACCTGGAGCTGGCCGTGTCCGTAATGGAGGCCCCCTCCCTCATGCCTGGGCCCAGCTCCAGGCGAGGGCTGCCCAAGTTCCCAGCAGCAGCAGCCCGCCCTCCAGGGGGGCGAGGGAAGGCACAGCCGCCCCCGCCTGGGCACCCCCTCTGTACTGCTCTCAACCGCAGCGGTAAAGCAGGGATTCCCGGCGGCCCTGGGAAAGAGCGGCTGCCGCTTCTTCCTGGCTCCATCATCCCCAGCGCATTTCCACCGTCTCAGAGAGGGGTGCTGGGGGGGTGGGCGCCTGCACAGCTCCTCCAAGGACAGAGGGGAAATGAGCAAGGCGGTGGCCGGCGTGGTGGGACCGGGCAGCCCCTGTGTACTGGAGCGAACTGGGTCGACCGTGGATCTGAGACTGCAAGAGGCTCAGAGAACGAGCGCGGTACCTCCTTGGGCGAAAGGATGGAGATGTAGTCCTCGTAGATCATCCGCGCTTTCTCGTTGATGGAGTGCTTGTTGTACTCGCTTTTGAGGTCCTCGCAAGCCAGCCAGAAGAGCATGTTCTCCTCGCTGTACTCAGTCCGTAAGAACTCCCGGAACACATTTCGGCCGGCGGGGTTTTTCATCAACTTGTCAAACGACTGGGACCAGCCCTTGATTTCCTCAGTAGTTGGTTTGGTGCTGGAAAGGGCGCTCCCCGACCCAGCGGAGGCAAAACGATCCAGAAGGAGCCCCGAGGAAGAAGAAGGGGAGAAGAGCCATTACTGTTTGGCCGTCTGCCCCAACACCGGGTCCGGGGCTCTGAAAAGACAGCCTGGCAGCATCTCCAGGGCAAGCCTCAGGCTGGACACGACACCAGGGCAAGCTTACACAAGGACAATTATCTCTGGATGACAGTGGACAACTTTTTACCTGTGAAATGGGCACATGCTGCGTGGGAGATCTGGGTAGTGAACGAGGGACTGGGTGTCCAGGCAGAGTTAGGGGGTGGCCCCACACCTCCAGGAGACCCTCTGCCCCACTGCTTGTTGAAATAAAGATCCTGGGCCCCACCCCCCGAGATCTGTGCTGCCTCTGATCCCCCGGGATGAGCTGGCGTTTGGCCTACCTTTGCTTCGCTGCCTATTCCCCCCCCCCCCGAATCTTTCTGCCCAAGGTATTTTTCTCAATTCAGCCCCCGCTTTCCCCTAGCCTTACATCACTTGCACATTCCTGGAGTTTGTGAGGGGGGTTGCAAAGGGAGAGGGCGAGGGTTGCACACCCCCATAATGGCTGGGGGTGGGGGATGAAGCGCCGAGCAGGCACAAAGAGCAGGGCAGGCAGCTGGGCCAGCCAAGCGGCTCTCCTTCCTCTCCCGCACGTCCCTGTCAGCCCCCTGCTGGCATCCCAGGGACCATTTGGGCAGGAAAGTCCTCTCCGGAACAGCTGCAATCATGCGGCTGTCAAACGCTCCAGGAGGCACCAAGAGGGTCGTGCCCACGTGTGCAGCACAGGGCAGAGGAGCTGATCGCGCACCCCAGAGGAGACCTCCAGAGCACGAAGGGTGGGTGCCCCATCCACCCTTCGGCACAAGGGGGCCATCAACGAATTCGCGTGCTTCTGCCAAAAAGACTTTCTCTAGCAGGAGTGGGGAAGGGAGGGCCCGAGCTGGGGGAGGATGCCCCCACCTGGGGGGCCTTGCCTGGCCCAGTGCCCCCTTCCCCGCACCTGCTCCAGAGAAACCTTTCTCCCAGAGGACAGCCAGTGGACAGGGACAGGATTTCGCACAAACGCCCGCCCACCCCCCAGCCACGGAAGTAAAGCAACGGGACAGAGGGGCATCCTTAGCTCTCAAGCAACAGCAACCTGTGCGGTACAAGGAGACGCTGACTAACGGAGACGATTTTGTGCGACGCACAGAAAGAGCGTGTGCGCACTGGAGGATGGCGGCATTTCAGTCCAGGTTCCCAGCCTGATCAAGGAAGGCTACATGGCCTGGCCTGTATAAACCGTTCCGGGTTAGAGAAATCGGCGGTGTTTATGCATGAGTTTTCTTCCTTCCATGGGGAGATGTGGGGAGGCACACGGGGCCAAAAAGTTGCCATTTCTCAGCAGTGAACACCGTACTCCACTCCATCCTTCCCCCAGAAGCTACAGGGTGCCTTCCAGCACACATGACTTCACCAGACATCCCATGTCAAGCTGCTGAGGACTAGAAACATGGTTTTGAAGGTGGAGGGTGGGGCATAATGGGGGGAAAAGAAGTTATTGGAGTGCTAAATTCTCATTCAGTACCAAGTTAATTGCTTGACTTAGGGAGAAGTCAAGTACTTTTAAGTGTCATTGATTTCAATGGAAGAGATGGACGGATGCACTGAAAGTACGGAAACTAAGAACTGCCATCCCTTTGGCTGGATCATGCGTGTAACATTTATCTGAGGTGCATTTCCCCCACGTGGCTCTGAAGAAGCCCCTTGGGGCCAATTCAGCAAACAGTGCAGGAGCCACAAAGAACAAAATGTAAGAATTATGGGGAAAATAATTATGGGGGTGGCGCCCAACTTATGGAACACGCTCCCCAGAGAGGTCCGCCTGGCGCCGTCGTTATTTGCTTTTCGGCACCAGGCGAAAACCTTTTTATTTAAGCGGTATTTTAACTGTTAGTATTAACTGATTTTATCTGGCCAGGGCGGCTTATTTTATATTGTATTTTTTGGATTTTTAATGTTTATATTAATTTATTGTTGTAAGCCGCCCCGAGGCTTCGGCGAATGGGGCGGCATAAAAATGTTTTAATAAATAAAAAATAAATAAATAAATAAAAAGAAAAAAGGAAAGGAAAACAAAGCAGTCTGTCAATAAAACTCGGCAAATAAAAGCAAATTTCCCAAATGTTTGCCAGTGGACAACATCCTTTGCATATCTCCCAAAAAGCAATGAAGAGCAGAACTTCTGGGCCTGTTGAGCTGGGGGGGGGGGGGGGATTCTACAGGAAGGCTGCCACCACCAAAAAGGCCCTTCCCTAGTTCCTGGACAGTATGATGGTGACACTATTGAATATGCCATAGTCTTAAGGGCTGAAAGGGGCCAGCTCACCAGGATTCCCAGTTTGGGATGGTCTCCAGTTTGGTGTCCCGTGATGCTCTCCATGCCCGCTCACGGTCTTCGTTCCTATGAACAAAAAGAAAAGGAAGCAGATGAGGGCCATGTGCAAGACTTCACGAAGGGAGCTGTAAACCAGCTCGACAGAAATACGAATTTGAGTTGCAGATTTAGTGGAGATTTACTGCCATGGTTGGCTCAGTATCACTTGACTGTCTAGAACTTTTGTGAAAAGGGCAATTTTCCTGTCTCACCTGTTAAATCAACACGAACCACTTATGAATTTATTTGCCACCTTTCCAACGCATCTTTCTAACTTGAAACATTTCAAAATGCCTTCGGACATTCACCCACAGAACCACTCCTGCGTAGGCTCCTGCAACTGTTCTTCTCCTTCTAAGGTTGCTTTGGTTCATCCCCCCACATTTTAAATTGTGGACCACCCTGAAAGGACCCCCAAACATTTTAATTCCTGACCTCACAAAGGAAGATGGGGGAGACCAAGAAAACAAACCTAAATTACATAAAAATGTTGACTTTCCTTATCCATTTGGGTACCAATATTCCTGACAAACTGCATGTAAATTATTTCAAATTCCGTGATTCTTTTTTCAAGCTCAAAATCGCCTGGGAAAAACTGGGACAAGCTCGGCCCTTTTGCCTCTGATCATTTTCCCACTGAAAATAACCTGTTCCTTCACCCAAGTGGGGATTCCTCTCTTTCTCTTAGTAGGTGAAAAAGCATCTTTGGAGGTCAGTTCTGGGCTGAAAACGAATGCCGCAGAGAGTATCTGGCATTCTTTTGCCTTCTCTTCTTCGCTGCACAGCAGCCGGCACCAGATGTGACCAGCAGAGGTCAGTGTTCCCTCACTGGGAAACATGAGAATTTCATTTTGATTTGGGTTTTATTTTTGAACAGAACTTGCTCCACTTTTGCCCCACAGTATAATTTCTGGGCAGGGCTCACACATTCCTGAGCTTGCCCTTACCCAACTACTGCATTAGAAAAAAACCTGCATTTTAAAATGTGCATTTTGCAAAAAAAAGAAGAAGAAGAAAGATATTTTCATGCTTTAGTTAGTGGGGGAAAGGAAGCACTTGGATGCTTTAAAATGCATGCTCAAATGTACACTTTTTCCATTCAAAGAACAGCAGAAACTCTCATTCAGGGATGGACATGAGGTGCATCCCAGCAGGCCCAAAATCTGCAGGTTCTCCCCTCCAGGCCAGCAGCAACTGGGTGTCAGAAAGCTATTGCACGAAGGGGGCAGCAGAAGTCAAAAGGAATGGCTTTTGACAGCGGTGCGTTTGGGTGCATCAGAAAAGCGGAACAGAAGAGCGAGCCTGCAGGACCAGTGGAACAGCCGAAGGGACCAGGGACGGCAGTGCTACGCATTCACGTCATGACAACACACGAAGGGCCCTGCCGGATCGAACCAAGGGGTCTAGCCCAGCATCCTGCGCATGCAGTACCAAACTGCCTGCCTACAAGCCACAGCTCATGTGCTCCAGCTACTGGCGGATCCAGGCACACTGCCTCTGACGACTGCGGCAGCAAACTGCCATCAGGATTAGTAGCCGTGGATAAGCTGCCTGCTGCAGGGATCCTTCAGATCCCCTTTTGAAGCCATCCAGTTGGGGGGCCGTCACCCCACCTTCTGCCCTCCATCGTCCGTGAAGCAGGGGGACAAAGGGCTCTGTTGATCAGTCCTGCATTCCTCACCGATCAGCTTTGAGGGAGGACATCCAACATCTCAAACCCGGCAAAAAGAGAGAGGCATAAAACAGGCACTTTGCTGGCCAGAAGGCTGCTTTCCTTTGATGATGCATCTAAAACAGGATAACCGCAATGGCCTTCTCCAAATCACACAGTCCCTCGCAGGTCGATAATTTAGCTTCCCCTTGAAGGCACCATCCAAGCTGCAGCTGGTCCCAAAAGAGCCCGCAAGCAACTGCTTTGGAATCTGATGCAGGGGCATGAGCTTGCCCACAGCCACGAGCCACGGACTGGCCTCCCTCCACAGGGATACTCCCCGGAGCAAAACATTTCACAGCAGAAACTGCTGTTTTGGTAGCAGAAGCTATTTTGGAAAGGCTTGCAGCCTGAGAGCAGGAACACAAACAAGATGCCACGATCTGGGTCAGGCTGTGGGTCCATCTAGTCCAAAACTGCCCACACTGACCAGCTGCCACGGCTCTCCTACCTTTCAGGTAGGAGGGATTTTCCCAGGCCTACCTGGAGATGGGATCCCGGACCTTCCACCTGCCAAGGAGGCCTGTGTCACTGACCCCTCCCCAGTGTCCCAAGGCTCGCTTTAACCATGGCACCGTGTAACATGTGCACAGTCCAGTAAGACAGAGAACATGGAAAGAAAAGGCACAACAGCAATTCTGCAACCCCAGATAAAGATGGCCAAGGAGAGCTGGAAAGATTTCTTAAAACTGTACTGAAAAATTCCAGCTGGACCCCTGCAGCTGCTACCTGTGGGCAAGAATTTGACCCAGTGAGTTGGGCAATTCCAGAACTCTGCAGCAGGGGGTGGAGGGAACTGTCTTAAGAAAGGGCTGGTAAAAGCCAGGCCAGGCCCCTTAAAGACCGAACGGATCTGGTGGGATCCCATGCACGTGGCAGGGAGTAATCCCCGGAGTCCACTGGGACTAGCATCTTAGTTAACACAGTCAACATGGCTGCTGTGGCATGAGAGGGTCAGGCCTGCAAAGGGGGCCAGCTTTGCTTTAGGAAAAGGAGAGAACAGAGGAGGAAGACGGAGGCACGGCGGACTGCAGACGGCATTAGCACCAACCTGCACATGTCCGAACAGAAAAGGGTCTTTCGGGTCCTGGCATTCCCCAGCCAGCCACAGGTCTTGTAGGACTTCTGCCTGTCTGAATGTGCCCAGGATTGTGTCCTGGGTCTACTCAGCCCCACCCCTTTCCTACCTAGAGCCGATTAAAGAAATGAGCCTTAAGTTAGACTAATTTTGGCCGCAACCCTTAAATACCAGCTGGTATTAGTTGCCGACTGAGATAGGAAACAGCGGCACTCGCCAGAACAGGCTGCAGGGACGTTTGCCAAGGCAGAATACCCCAAACCCAAACAAAACGGCAGAGCGCTTCCGAGGGCCTCCCCACGTGGTGAGGCGCAAGCACACGACACCCATCTGCTCAGGATGTGTTTACATTTGCTTCATTAAATACTTTCCCAATTAGCCTCCGGCTACAAATAGAGCTTTAAGCACACAGCCTACCCCAAACACAACAGCGGCAAAGGAACAGGGAAGGCTCCCAAACAGGCCTGTAGCAGAAGAATTCCACTGGCCGGACTGGAGCGAGGGCCATCTGTTCCCGGGCCTTTCTGCGCTAGAAAGGCAAGCTGATCGCTGGTGCAGCTCTCGGGGCCTGCAATGGGTCGGCCCAAAGACAAAGGGGCAGCGCTCACACACCAGCCTGGCTGCAAAGCCTTTGCAGAGGTATTCCACCCTTTTAAAACGGGGGGGGGGGATGTGCAAAAGCGGGGAAAGCACCCCACAATCCATGGCTGGAGGAACATTTGGGGACCCTGGCAGGCTGGCTTTGAGCCCCAGGTCAACATCTGACACCCTTGATCTGATCTATCTAAGCTGGAATTTTGTTTGGTCTCAGGCAGGACGCCGCCAGAGGACTCGGGAAACAGACAGCCAGTGCCGCATCTTCTCTGAACACACGAACTTCTCCTGGCTTGGCTCAAAAGTGCTTCCATCTAGCCCAGCATTGCTCTTCCCGAAGTGGTAGAGGCCTTGCAGAGGGTCCTTCCTAGCTGTGCTAACTGGAGATGTCTGGGGTCCTCTCCATGCAGAACCCCACGATCTTCACACTCCTGAAGGCACAAATAGGGGCAGAAATATATCCGAAGGCACCATCACATGCACTGGGAATTTACGAGGCATGGCAAACATGACATGTTAGCCTGACCAGGGGAAGAATTTCTCACCTCTGTTCTTGATAATAACTGAGCTGCCACTTCATTTGCATTCTAATTATTATATTTTTAAACATAAAAAAATCTTTTGAGGGCAAATATCCTTAGGCAGTTTGCTGTAAAGAAAACTTGCCTCCCAGAGAGCCCCCTTGGCAATGGGGTGGCATATAAATGAAATAAATATGCAAATAAAAAGCAAGGGCTTAAAAGTCCATTGAATAAGCACTTCCTACCGTGCCCAACCTGTAAGCCAGAAACTCCGAGGAGCAAAGCTTGCCCAGCTAGCAATGTGCCAAATCAATCCCCACCCGCTGTTTTTCACGGGCCGTCTGTCAGAGGGGATCTTTCATGGCCTTCTTTGGATGGGTGGGGAAGGAGGAATGGTGACTGCAAAGGAGTTTCCTATTTTCCTTTTTCAACCAAGAGGAAAAGGAAGAAGTCCACGGTCCTGGTGAGCACACCCAGGTTGTGTGTGCCGCTCGCCAGGAGTCAAGCCTCATGTGACCTTTGTGCAAGACGGTTTGCCTATTTATTTTAAAGGTTTATACCCCATTTATACCGACGGCCTCAAGACGGCTGGTTGCACAACTGGACTTCTGCAAGTGTCCACAGACTTCCTCTCGGCTCGCTTTTCCAGACAGGGCTGACATGAGAGGAAGTCTTTGAACTGAAGAGGGTGGACTCTACGGAGCTTCATCAGAGCATCAGTCCTTGGTGCCTTCAAAGGCAGGGCCAAAACCTGAGTCCAGGCCTGATGGAGGGGCCAAGGAGGAAGTAGGGCCCTTCCTGGCCCCCTTTCTAAGTTGAAATACACCCACTGGCTTGGTTTTCTCCTCTTTCTTTGGTCATCCCTTGAAATTCCTTCTGCTCCTCCAGTGCTCCACCCAAACTCAAAGGATATCCTGTTGCACTTAAATCCCCAGTCTGGGTCCTCCGTCTCCCTGCATCTTCTCTGCTTCGTATCTTGTGAACGTAACGCCCTACCTCTTTTTCCTTCTCTGTCGTTACCATGGAGAACAGGCTGCCAATTTCAGGGCTTGGGACCGGTCTACATAACCATCAGCGCTTTGTTTCTGAAAATATTTACGGTAAAACAAAGCCGTCGTTTTAACTGGCAAGCGTTCTCCAGAGAACTTCCCCATTTTCTCGAAGCAACATTGCTACAGCCTCTCCGGTCACGACCAACCCAGATGCGGTGGGCCACCGTGGCCATCGTCCCCAGCCAGCGTGGCCACCAGGGCTCGGATGCCGGCCACGTGCTCTCCGCAGCTGTGCAAACCGCCCCTCCAGGTGCGGATCGACTGGCCCCACGTGGTCGAGGACGCCTGGGGACCGACAGATGCCCCCCCCCCCGCCTCCACCTGGGCCACGTACCACGAGCAGCTGCAGCAGCAGCACCAGCAGAAGCAGCAGGGGTTGGTCCGTCGGTGGTTGCTGGCCCGTCGCAGTGCTGCCGGGGACGTCTCATGCTGAGACATTGGAAGGGGTCTCTCTGGGTACTCTGGCTCTGGGTACTGCAAAAGGACGGCACAGAGCAGAGAGGGTCAGCGAGGCATCCACCCACCCACCCGAGCATCCACCCATCCAAGCAGAGAAACATAGCCAGTCAGAAGGGGCCTCCCGGGCCATCTAGTCTGACCCCGGCTCCAGCCGGCTCTGCTCACGACATGCCCACCATGTGCATGTCCAGCCTGTCCTTGAACACCCACACCAATGGGGCCTCAAGCATCCACCACCCATCCAAGCATCCACCCACCCACCCATCCAAGCATCCACCCACCCACCCATCCATAGCTTTTACAGACCGTCCCATTACTAACACCGTGGGGTGGTTTACAACATCTCAGGGCCACTCCACCCAAAGGTACGAGTCAGGGATGAGGAACCTTTCACCCCAGAGGTGAAGCAGGACTTCAGAGAAGCTCTCGGGGCTGCGCTGCCATGACGGGTGAGGACCAAAGTACGAAAAATGCCAGGCGCCTGTCGCGTGAGACCCTCCCTGCCCTCAGAGAGGCACTTCAGATTTTTAGAGTGGGGGAGCAGCTACTGCAAAGCCAGGGAATCTCTCCATGACTGGGGAGCTGGGGAAAGGGGGTGTGGGGCCAGACCTGGTCCCCAGGCTGGGGCAACCCACCGCTAGTATAAGTGAATCCTTCCAGAAGCGCTGGAGCTCTGGGCAGAGCTTTGAGGAACATTTGCTCCTGCGGGCAGAGCAAAACTAGGCTAGGTCTTGGGAGGCTCCACATGATCACAGAGCAGACCCGCCCTGGAGCTGTTCCGAAAGTACAAGGAAGAATCATTGCTGAAGTAGTAAAATCGCATCCAATTCCTGAGCGTGGCTTGTGTGTGATCCCAGAGCCTCTCCAACCAAGGTCGGAGGGCCGGGGAAACCGGCAGTCCGTGTTCGCAGAGGGTGCCTCCCCACTGTCACAGCTGACCCTCTTATGAAGACCCATGCGCCCATGTTGGGGAGGTCTGTCCACGCAACCAGCAGGTCTGCAGAGGCTGAGACTGCAGCAGATGCCCCCAGCGGCCAAGTGCAGTTCACCTTCTCAGGTGTGGGACTTCGCTTATGGAGCTTTCCTCCCCAGGGATGCTCCCCGGGAGCCAATCCTAAGCATGCCTCAGGCACAATCTTATTCCAAAAAGAAAAAGGAAAAAAGCCTGCAACGCTAAGCATATTTAGAGCAGAATCCTGTACATGGTCCGGACAGAACCAAGTCCTGCAACTCACAGCATTCTAGAGTGGTCTGGAGACTGCTGGCAGCTGGACGAACACTCTGGGAAATGTTACGTACAGAATTCATTCATTCTATCCATAAATAAGAAATTGAGGGACACCGAGAGATGCACCAGCTGCATGGCCGTGCACAGGTTTCAGGTCCAGTCTTTGGGTGACTCTGGCTGAAGTCGCCAGCTTGAAACTCAGGTGAGCATTTGCCAGTCAGAGAAGGTGAAATGGACCGTCAGACTGATTTGGCAGGAATTTATGGAGATGGGGCAGAGTAGAACAGGGTTAAAATGAACCTGCAAAGGCCAGCAAACTTGACGAATGGTTGATTTGGAGAGGAAAACATCTTTAGGAGAACACGGCCCGCTCATACCCCTCTGCTCAGCTGATGATCTTGCAACAGCAGCTTTTTCCTTCCATGACTGCTTTTCTTTGTCATGAACTATCTGAGCCAATCAGCGATCACAGAGTGAAAGGACCTGGCTGTGCTGATCTGCAGAGCAACCCGACTGAATGAAAAGGTGGGATCTCTCGGAAGACTCGTGCAGGTGACTCCACCCAACCAGGAGTCAGGTCAAGATGCTCCAGCTAGGCAGGGCCCACAGTTCAGGAAAGATTGAGCTCTCTCTGAAGGTGCAAATGCTTCCACCTCCTTTCGCCCCAGGCAGAGTCTCCCCTGCCCAATATTAAAATCAACCCTCATCCTGACCCTACTGTAAAATAAGGACGGTTGACTCTCAGGGTTAGGGGCCAAATCTGTCCCCAGATCTCCCCAGGTACGGCCACACCCCTTCTCCTGGCTGGCTCCTCCTCTGATCCAATGGCCCGCCTTTTTGGTCTATCCCAGCTTCCCCACCCATTCTCAAAAGCTGAAATGCTCTTTGAAAGCAGAAACTGCTCTGAGCTAAAATAGGCCGGCGTTTTGACACCACCCTTTGGCTTTGCTCCACCCGTGTGCATCACTGAAAAGGTGCCCGAGCTTCTCCGAAACAGAGCTGGACCCCGAGGCTGACAGACAGGGGACCCCGAGGCGCCTCGGTAAGGCAGCTCACCTGCTTCTCCACTTCATGTACCGTCGGCATGGGCAGCTCTTTTCTGCCGTGCTGGCACGCTGTGGCAGTCTTTTCTGGCCACGGGTTGGCCACGAGTCCTGCTCAGAGCCGCCCTTCCTAGGGCTCTTGCGGCTTATGGAGCGGCACCTGTGGCAAGAAGAGGCAATCCCCGTTAGGGGCATCCAGGCCCACGTCTCCCATGGAAGGGTTTGTGCACGCCGATAACAGGTCTCCTGTCGTTTAACTTCCCTGAGAATATTTCTGAAGGCTGATGCAAGTTAGCAATTTAAATACAACACATGTCTGTAGTAAGCACATTTAAAAAGCAAAACTTCTCACGGAAAACCACACAGCTGGAGGGAAGGGAGCACCTGGCTGTACATCAGGGCCTGAATGTGACCAAAGATATCCGAGCTTATTCGTGAAACTCCTTGGCTGGGTGGGGACAACGCAACCGTCTGCAGAGGCTGCACCCTGCTCGCCAAAAGCCACCCTGCGCTAAAACAGCCTGCTTCCAAGGGTTGTTGTGAAGATAATGGGAGGCTTCGGCGAATGGAGCGGCATAAAAATGTTTAAATCAATCAATCAATCAATCAATCAATCAAGGAAGATGACTTAAGCTGCCCTGGATTCCTTGCAAGAGGAAAAAAGGTAGGGTATCAATGTAATAAAAATGATCAGAAAAGATACGCCGCAAGACCCTAAAGCAGTAACCCTGCTACCCTCTTTCTCCTTCCAGTAACACCTAGTCAAACAAACACAGCAACACGTGTCGTCGCGTGGTTTAAGAGGAGCGACTACATACAGATGGGAAAAGGTGAGTCTGATCATCTCTAAAGGGGCTGATTTTCTGGAATATGGAGTGCTGTTTTTTACTTTAGGGCTCTGCAATGTCATGTTTCGCTATGGATGCTTCTGCCTAAGCTTCTAGTCATTTCAGATTTCCTGCTCTATTTTGGGTTTCCTCTCGCTCTCTTCATTTGAGATTTTTTCTCAGGGGGGTTGGGGTGGATACACCTGTGCCTTCTCCTGGCAACACGAAAATCTTTCATTTTCTCCAGGTCCTGTTTGAAAACAGCCGCACTGTGAATCTGAAAATGACTTAGCCAACCAAAGAGATACTGCTCTCTACCCTTTTCATCCTGACGTATCTCTCCCTCTTTCCGTCTTGATCAGACCCCATTCCATCTCGAGGAATGGACTTATCAATGAACGCTGTGTGCGTGTCCCGCATTTCAGGCTAATTTTTTTCCTTCCACTTCTGCAAACTGTGGGGTCATCCTGGATCCGGGGACAGCGCCCTGCTGCGCACAGGTGGTGCAGCCTTGGCTGCCCTTGCAATGAGTTGGAGGTCTTCCATTTTCATTGGCACGATCCAGCGGGCATGCTGTACAGCCCGTCTTCCTTCCACCTTTGCAGCTGTGGAAGTGGGTAGGAAGCAGCCTGGCAGGAAGGAAGCTGGGAGTGGTTTGACCGCTGCAAATTTGGCCTCCACCCAGAGACAGTAAAACCCCCGCACTCCCCTCCTGCCTTTCCTGCCCAGTATCAGATACACCAGCCGGATCGCTCTAAGGATGCCCTCAAAGGGCTACACATGCTAATTCTACCAAAGCGCCATGCAGCTCTTCCGGTTTGTCCCCCCGGGTAGATTCTCAGTGGTAAGAACAAGCGTGAGAAGAAGTGGCAAACATCTGGCAACCACTATTTCTGGCCTGGCCACTGAGATCTGCCCAAAATGGCAGCCAGGGCGGTCAGAGCGCAAAAGCAAAGGGGCAACATTGGTTTTGTGATGCTTCGGAATACAGAATGCTAGGTAACGTCCACTGCTCGATCTTGCTCAAATCGTAACGATTCTATTCTTGTGTAGTCATCTTCTAAGATTCATTTCTTCTTTGTATAAAAAAGGAAACGTACCTATTCTTGCTAGTTCAAATCACAGCAGCCAATGCTCAGGTGGGGAAACTCAAAAGCAGGTGCTAGTTCTGAGTGCAGCATGTTACAAGAACCCAGCCAGGTGCACAGGCTGTGTGTTTGCACGCGCACGCGCGCGCGCGCGCACACACACACACACACACACACACACACACGGGCACTGCTTGCAAACATACTGATACAACGAGGAATGGCCTGCAGAAGGGAAGACCAAAATGAGGCCCATGCAGCTGCAGACAATACTTTTCAGCGGATGCAACCCAATGGGAGTCAAGGTGGCAGGTGCACGAAACTGCAGGGGCAGGCAAGTATTTGGGGCCCATGCAGCACCTGAGAAACTCTCCTGGGGACTGCCACAAAATGGCTGCCGTGAAGGGTGTGGCAAGCCACAAAGGGTGGCGTTCAAGGCAGAGGAGCGAGTCTGAAACCAAATGCTAAACCACCTTTTTGACCTCGGTTTGCCGCTCTTATCAAAGCCTATTTTACAGAAGCAAGGATGTTTTCTGTCACCACCTTCTGTGAGCCGACTCCTTGCCCTCCCTTGTCCTTCCCTCCCCTGCCTCTCACCCCCGCCCTCCATTCCTCTTCACATCTCACACACAAGCACCTGATGTCATGACACACCTGTATACACCCTCCTCTTCTCCTTTTCATTGGAAGCACATGAAAAATCTCGCCTGCATGTTCTGGATCCATCCAAAGTCACCGCTAAATCCTTCCTCCTACGCTTTCCCTCCTTCTCACACACTGACGGCCTTCATCCACTCGGATGTGCAAGCACCAACCCCCCCTAACACCCCTGCCAGGTAGGACTTCCTGCAGCCTCCCCACCTCTCCTGCCCACCGGCTCTGTCACCCCCCCCAACTCACCACTATCCTTCGCAGCCTCCCCGTTGCTCTTCCAGACCCAGGATGCAGGGGGCAGAAACCAGCACCACAAGGCCCACATGCAGCATGGGGATCCAGTCACTGCAGTGCCTGGGGGGGTGCTACATTCTAGGTTTTCCTGCCCCCCCTTCTGCAATACTCGGATCCCTTCTGAACCTTGCCTGCGTTCGAGGAAGGGCTTCCGTCTGAGGGCAGAGTGCATGCTCTGGATGCAAACAGTGCCGGTACAAGCCTGAGCAACTCTGGGTGGTGCCGGAGAAGGCCCCAGTCTGAAAGGGTGGCGGATCCTCACCCAGCCGTGTGGGTGAGACGGAGTGGGGTGAAGCGATGGCCCAGCTCCCCAGCTTGGGGGCAAAGCAGTTGCGGAGCGGATGGATAACTCCGGAGGGGCGTCCTTGGCACAGCCTGGCATGGGGATGGATAACCAAGGAATCCTTGCCCTACCGGGCCCCGCGGAGGCGGCTGGAGCAGGTTCCTAGGTGAAGAGGACGGACGGTCTCCCCGCTTCTTTACTGGGCAAAGTGGGCTAGATTTCAAGCCTGTACCGTGTTGCTTGCACCTGAACCTGGAAGGGGCTTCGACGTGCAAAAGGCGTCATCCGACACAGAGCCTTATCGCTGCTATTACAGCCTGCCTCTTCCTCCCATTGCGAAGCAAATGCTCAGCAGCCTGCCTTCTCAAATTGGCTGCAAAAGCCACCTCCCATTATATAAATCATAGAAGCAGAGTGAGTCAGAAGGGGTCTTCTGGGCCATCTAGTCTGACCCCCGGCTCCAGCCGGCTCTGCTCACGACATGCCCACCATGTGCACGTCCAGCCTGTCCTTGAACACCCGCACCGATGGGGCCTCAACCTCCTCCCGTGGAAGCCCATTCCACGCCCTCGGGGTCCTGACTGTCAGGAAGTGCTTCCTAGCATCTAAATGGCACCCGGGTTCCCTGAGCTTTGCTCCACTGGAGCGCATCCTGCCTTCCTCTGCAGGGAAGAACAGGTCTCTGCCCACCTCCGTGTGACACCCCCTCACGTACCTCCCTTTCCCAACTTCCCTATCCGGTATTCCTGGTGTGCTACATCTTCCATTCGGATTGCCATGCTGCTTATCTTGGTAAACTGCTCTCGGAGCCCATTTGGTTAAGGAGCAAGAATACGCACATAGCAAGCACATTTCTACCCCTCATAATTCCCTGCACATAAATACTCGGGGTGCGGACGGGAAACAGAGTAAGCATGCTCAACAAGAGGCCGCATCCATCAACACCCCGACCGGCGGCCTGGCTCCCTTCCTTGCCAAGCAAGCACGGACTGTGCCACCCACGCAGCCCCCTCGGCTGTGTGCCCATCAAGTGCCCAAGCTGCCACTCTGCCAGACTGGCACAACCTCTGGATCGGCTGTTGGAGCAAATTGCCCGGGAGCAGGACGTGTGTCAGTGGCGTGGCACTCTGGTCCACGCAGCTGCCAAAGAAAGGCTTTTAAGAAACAAAACAAAACAAAACACCAAACCCAAAACGCTGCCTCAGGTTTGCAGCATGTTAGAGCGACAGCTTGCAAATAAAATGTCAGAATTGGGCACCAGCAAGAGTCGGGTGCTTCTGAAGTCACGATCCCCCTCAGATTTTAGCCCTTTTAATGCCATCATCCTCTCGGTGATACCGGCAGTCTTAGGCAAATCTGAAACAGTGGTATGGGAATGAAACGCAAGCTTGGGAATGCAGGCTCACTCACAAGATGCCCCTGTTGATTGATTTAAACCATGTTTATATCGCTCCTTTTTAGCTGATGACTCTCCGGACAGTTTGCAATGTATTAAAATCTAAGAACGTAATAAGCATTATTATACACAATTAAACATTCACAGATAAAACCAGTAAAATCACATTAAAATGGAAAAAGCAGATAATGATCTAACAGAAATAATTATAAAATTAATGGAGACAAAGCAGGGTTAGCAAAAGAAATAGTCCCAGTGTCATATAAAGTAAAAATATAAAAATTTACCAATTAAAACGCTGTGAAAATAAAAAAGGGTTTTGCCTGGCACGGAAAGGTGTGTTGTGTCAGTGCCAGAAGCGCCTGTCTGGGAGCAGGTTCCACAACCAGGGCACCTCGGCCGAAAAAGGACCTAACTCGCGTAAGCTGCAATGGAGGCCCTGAACACTAATGTGCGAAAATGCAGAACCTGGGTCCAATTCTCCCTTTTCAGCAATCGTTTGGGGGCTTTTGTGAGCTCCCTCCCATCGCCCCAGGAATTCTAAAAGGCCGGCACGCCTCTCCTTAGCTCTAGTGCGGGTCTGGAAGAAATTTAAGCTAAAACATGCTGTCACTGGGA